CACCGGGAGGGATCTGTCTCAGGTTTCTTTTCATCCCTATTTTGTATTAATCACTTGATTCCTTAACTAATAGGATCTAGCTACATTTTATTTTTGAGAATAGGTTTTAGTCACTCCATCCCAAATCTCCTTTACAGTATTAGCCCACAAAAAAATTTACCAATGTGAGGTAACATAGAGTTACACAGATAGGTCATCACCATGTAATTCTCTTGTACCCACCGGGAGGGATCTATATTAGGTTTCTTCTCCTCCCCAATGATGTACCCCAGTTTCCCATGAGCGCCAATGGCCATCTTGGATGATTATGCCCATTCTAAATAACTTGTACCTTCAACCTTTATTGTAGTAATAATTCCAGACAAAAAAATATCACTACTACCTCAAACACCTAGACCCCATGTTACCAGTGGACTTCTACTTGGTACTCCAACTCTCCATTTTACTTCAAGCAATTCAAAAGCAGAAAAAAATAGGTAGAGAGCCTCAAACACCTAGACCCCATGTTACCGGTGGACTTCTACTCGGTACTCCAACTCTTCATTTTACTTCAAGCAATTCAAAAGCTGAAAAAAATAGGTAGAGAGCCTCAGAGATCAAATTGATTTCACACACAAAGGTAACAAACCTTTTCGAAAGAAGAAAGCTCTATCTAGAAAGAAATCTCTCTCCTCCCATTGTCTCCTATCGAAGAGAAAAGTGAATCGGCCACTCCAAAAGGCCCAAAAAAATTCCAAAAACCTAACCGCCCCCTATATAATACCTAGAGAAGTTCAACAATACATGAGCTCCCAAGATCATATCAAAATTGAAGAGTCCAACTTGACTAGGGCTCTTCCCCGCACTCTAGTTCTTCTTGATTTTGATGCCAAAACATAGATCACCTTCCTAATGACTAGATCACACACAAAAAAAAAAAATCCAAGAACTGGGCAATCTGAAGTAGATTGATCAGCACTTTATCTCCTCGTACAATCGGCTGATCTAGGACTACATGAAAAAAACTTCAAGAAACCCTAACCTTGTTCTAGTACCAAGTAGAAAGGTGTTGAAATAAAAAAATCTATAAAAGAAAAGAACATTTCTTGAAGAAGAAGAAGAGAAGAAAGGAGAAAAGGAAGAGAAGAGATTTAAGAGAGAAAAGAGAGCAATAATACTAGCCGCCCTCTTCACTATTATTTATAGTCTGAAATAATAAAGAGTACAAAGACAAATATGCCCTTATAGGGCGACTAACACATAAAATAGCACAAAACAATTAAAATAATTGCTCAAAAAAGACACAACAAGAGTGATGTGATCCCCACTTCCTATCTAAACAATAAATAATAAAAAACTACTACTATAGACTACACGATTTGTCTTAAACCTCAACAGTTATTACTATTATTATTGTAATTTAAAGTTTTCACATGCAATGCATGTGCACATTTACTACAAGCATTTAAGTTTATTTTTAATCATATTGTTACTTTTGTTAATTTTTAATTTCTATTTTAACTATGATATATCTAAAATTTAAGTAATTAATACGAAAAAAATTCTCACATGCAACGCACATACTTAATTACTAGTGAAACAAGAAAAGTACAAATTTTGTATCATATATAGGAATGGTAATCATAGTTACAATTTACAAGCAATCAGATAAAAAAATTGGACCTTGTGCAAAATTTGTAACAATTTTATATTTGCACAGCAACCAAACCCAACCTTAAATGGGAAAACTGAAAATACAATTTTTAGTATATTTAGTTAAAATAATGTCAAATGGAATTATAAAAAATGCTGTAATTATTAAAACCAAAAAGCGCACAAGTTTTAAAAGGAAAACAATTGTACCATTAAGGAAGTGTTCTCTAATATGATTTTTTTCCTGTTGTGAGTTCCAAAAACAAATCAAGCCATCTGGTTTGAAAATGAAAACATGAAAAACATGATCTTGGTTGTATTTTTCATTTCTAAAACTTGAAACAAAAACCTGTTATTGAATTTCTGGTTTAAAGAACATGTTTTCATATAATGATTTATTTCCATTATTTCCATATTTCACATAATACTCGGAAACTTGTTTTCGTGGGTTTAAAAAAATAGAACTGGCTTTTTTTTTCAAAATGAAAACATGGTTCAAGAGCTTCTTTCAAGTTTTTAGCTGATGTGGCAATTTTAAACATGAATGACTATTCATGCATGACTTGTTCTACTAGCTTCTTAGACTTCTCTTCCAACTAATATGTTAACAAGGACTAATTTTGCATCTATTGACTAATTGTATTCACACATTGCTCAAACCACATTGAAATGCAACCTACAAGACAACCATGACTAATCTAGCTTAAACACCTCTCTCTCTCTCCAATTATGTGACATTTCCTATGGTTTTTTATAATTTCTCTCAAAAGATTTGTAAAATTTAATTCACACGAGTTTGATTTCCTCTTTTATGTTTTCCAGTTAATTTTTTCTACCACATGACTATTCACCCCAGCCTCCCACTTTCTCTCTATCACCTCACCCGAAATATGTATTTTAATAAAAAAATATCATCTATATTTGGATTATTTATATCTATTAGACCCACCATATGTCCACTTAGGCCTTGCTTGCTTTTCAGTAAAGTACTTACCCAAGTAAATGCACTTACTTGGATAAGTATTTCCCACCCAGGTAAGTGCATTTACCCATGTTCTTTTATTTCTCATGTAAATAAGGCAATGACCATTTTATCCATAAAAATCTATTATTAAAAGGGACACTTTTGTCCCATTCAAGTGTTGGCAACTTCCCCCTAGGTGGGAAAGTTATTTACCCACCTAGGAGATGTGATATCTAGGAAGATAAATTTTTCCTAGTCCCCACATAAATTTGAAAAAAGAACATGGGATTCTTGGTCAATGGGAACCGAAATCCCATTGACCAACTTTCCCCCCCTCTCAAAATATGAAAAAAGAACGCTCCCTAAGTGTTGGTAACTTTCCCCCCAAGTAGGAAAGTTACTTACCCACCTAGGATATACCTAAGAAAAATAAATTTTCCATGGACCCATAGAAATCTGAATAAAGAACATGAATTTCTTGGTTAATGGTAATCAAAATCTCATTGACCAATTTTTCTCCCTTCTTAAAATCCAAAAAATGAATGGACCCTTACTGTCAAGTTGGTCTTAAAGTATCTCTTCTAATGAATAACTGCAAGTTCAAACTATGGATAGGCAGGGTCTCCACTTTAGGCCATTGGGCCCCTTGCACACTCCATCACTAACCTCATTAATCCACTAATCCATCAATTAGGTCTTGCATACAACATCTTTCCACTGTAGGGGGCCAAAGCTGCAGATGCATGGACTCTCTTGCTGGTTCTGTTTTATAGTTGGTCTAAAGTGAAACTCACCCAATTTGGTTCAAGACTTTGTTGATAGTTCATTGATTCATTTCATCAAGCCGGTTCTTGTTTTGGAACATTGGTTTGGGGCCATGCTGAAAATGATCCAAATTTGTGGCCCAATTAACCTGGGTCTTTATTGCTTAGAGACTAAGGTGGCTTTTGGTAAATTCTTTCGTGTGCTCTTTCAGTGTTTTCAAAGCTTAAAAAACCAAAATTTGGTTTTCTCCATTTGATAATGAAAGTTGGGAACCCAGTAGGACCTATGCCCTAAAAACCTCATAGAATCCCAAAATGACCAAAACTCAAGAAACTTCAAATGAAACTGTCTTTCTGCACCTAAAATTTTTCATTTAACAGCTCTGTGGACTATGGTAGATTAGGATACTAAACATACAGTCTAGATATTTAAAGATAAGACCCAAAAACTTATTACATCCTTTGCCCATCTAGGCTGTCAGAAGATTTTCCTAAAAAACATGTCAAATGGCATAAAAAAAGGAAATGGAAATAAATTTAACTAATAAATTTTGTTTTGCTTTACTGATAATGTCGGTTGTTAATCAGCCAAAATGAGTTGGTAGTAAATCATCTAAATAATTGCTCAAATTAGAGCTAAATAGTCAAAACATTGTTAACTAACCTGGACTGGGTGGTTCAGGTACTGTTGTAGACATTCATCCCCGACACACAAAATTGTCATAAAATGGGCTTAAAATGTTAGCTTTGAGTCTTTGACATTATCACATTAGTAGGTATTGTCGTTTTCAGCCCTGCCTGGAAAATTCCAGGCTTGGGCCTTAGATTTTGTCTTCAGGTTTGGCCTGGGCTCAGGCCTGGGCTGCAAATTTCAGGGGCTGGGTCCAATACTTCTGCCCTGTACATATTTTAATATAAATGTCATTTTATGTTATATTTTATATTTCATATAAATATTATAATATGATACCTATAATACATATTATAATATATAATGTAAACATTTTATATGATACATAACATAATTAGGCCCAGGATGTACCCCTTATCACAGGTGCACAGCCCAGCCCAGCTCATGAGTCCGATTTCAGCCCATTCTAACAAAAAATGCTGTTCAAAGTCCGAAGTCAGCCCATATGGTCGTTATTTGTTAAGGGGCTTTGAGTCTTTGACAAATTTGATGAGCACGACAGCAAGTTGTTGAGATTTTTACACAAAGGGCACAACCCTTAGGGTTTTTCTGTCTTTCCACCAGTTTTGTAGTAACAAAAACGGAATGTGTGCAGTCCAGATCGATCCCATCCCGAATTCCCCACAAAAGGGCGCCCCACAATGTCCCACGGCACATCTCTATCGTGTATTGGAACATCTCTCGATGATGATATTATCATTTCTGTACATCATCGGAAGAGATTCCCAATACACGGCGGGATGTGATATGGGACGTGGTGGGGCGCAGATCTGAATTCCAATTCCCCATTCCCAATTTCATCTCCCAAAAATCTACCTGTGCCACTCACTGATCACTGGTCCAACATTTAAAAACCTAGGTGTACTCGTGGCGACCCAGTGACGTGCCACGTATTGGGGGCTCACACGACTCTTGTATCCAATTTTGAGGAGACAGCGAGAGTGGAGGATGGTTTCGAATTTCGACATCGAGAGCTATCGCAGTTTCGCCGCAGGATGGAAACCTATTTATATTCCCCACACTTAAAAAATCCTCCTTTTTTTAATGTCCCCTCTTCTCTCCTCTTTCACTCTCTCTCTCTCGGCGAAGTGCGAACCCCAAAATCCCTATCTGGAGCTGAAGATTCCTTAATTGATCAGATATTTTCCGTTAGGGTTTCGAGAGGATTCCACTGCTAGCGATCTCTTTCAATCAATCTATGCAATCGTGAGAGCTGGGTTGAGGAAAGAGATCCTGAGTTCATGAAAAATGTCGACGAGTGTCTCCGCCGTTTATCTTCACGTCGTCGATGCCGTAGTCAGTAAGTTGCGGGATGAGTTCATCAACGAGGGCGTTGATGATTCTGTTCTCAACGAGCTTCAAGGGGTACTTCTGCCAGTCTCTCCTTATCTTTGGAGTAGATTTTTATTTTACGTTTTATTGTTATGTTCTTGCGTTTTTGCTTGGGCGTTTTTTCTGCTGAAAAAACGTTAGGTCCTAAATTATCCCATTTCCCTGTGGGGTGGTATACTTCGATTTGGGTATTGTCTTGCTGAGGTAGAAATGGTAGGGCGCTTTGAGTCAATGTTGTTCTAGGGCAAGCGTCGAATATTGAGAGAGGCTTAACTGGGTTATGAGTTATAGTGTTATACTGTTAAGATCTATTAGCTTATCTGGACAAGTTACCAAGGATTTGGTTGGGTTTGGATTTGTCATTAAGTTAAAAATATGTTCAAGGAATCAAAAAGTGTTTGCTTGATTTCGTTTTGACGAAGGATCAGTAAAATTTTGATTAGGACAAGAGAAGTATAATACGATGGTTTGAGTTCTTAATTCAATTGTGTTTATTTATTTTTTTTTCTTTTTTAGGTTTATATATGCTATTTTTTCTTTATAATTCATCTGATGCTATTGTGTTCTTATTTGAGAAATTACTCTTTTGACAATGCATTTAGCATTCTCTGTGGTTAGAGAAATGCTATAGGGATACTAAATATCTGTATACCGTAACAATTTTAGAGTGAAACTAGTGAAGTCTAAGAATCTGTCAACTGCTACAGAGGGGTTTTCAAGAATTCCTGGAAACATGAGAACTCCAAAACTTTATTTTTTCGATCATGGAAAATGCCATATTCTATTAACAGGAATATGCATAAACAAAATGAAACTTTGACATTCCCAATTAACTTTTGGTAGAACAAGCAATATAAACAAATGTGATTGTTTGAACGAAAAGTTCAGTGAATTTTCCTTGAAGTTATCAAGATTTATAATATTATGAAATGGGCATTTGTTTTGGGATATGTTTCATAAGGTGACTTTAAGAAGCTTAAAGTTACCATTTGCATTGCTTATTATAGAAAGGGATTTCCATAATGACAGGGCACAATCTTGTGTGTGAGCATAAATCACATATCGTATTCCAATTTGTGGATTAAGTATTTTTTTAAAAATTCTATGAAAAATAATCTTTTTTACTAAAACCTATGGATCAAATCCTACTTTGGTCCAGGGATTTCAATATTTGAAAAAAAAAATCTGGAGTTCTAATGCATGCATAGGAAGAAGAAAAAGATGAAGAAAAGCCATATGATCTCTTTGAATTTCACAAAAATTCTGGGACCAATGGGGTTTTCTCATGTGGGGCCTACCAAGTCCAACCATCTCTAGGAAGCCATGATGGGTTTCTAAGCATTCTTGTTTCATGGATAGTTTCATAAATACTGCCACCTTGTATCTGGGTTGGCTTTTGAATTATAATGGGTCTAGTAGATATCTATCTCTTTACTATGACATTTTTTGTTATTTAGAAGCTAGGATGTGTTTGTCAGCTGTCATGTTGGGTCCAGAAGGTTTCTTTGACCTTAAATTGGAACCTCAATACTTTGATTCTGGCTATATTTCAAATATTTGTCCATTTTACATGATATCAGTGTTATTAGGTATGTTTTCATTTATCTCAATAAGATCAAGATCTTAAAAATCATTTGTAAATTGGACCTAGAGAAAGCTTATGATTATGTGGACTGGTCTTTCCTACTTGAGATTATGTGGAAGTTTGGGTTGGCGGGGAAAGGTAGAGAATGTGGATTAAGAGATGTTTGAGTTCAGTGTATTACTCTGTCTTGATTAATGGAACTACTAGAGACTTTTTCTTAGCAAAAAGAGGCCTAAGACAAGGGGATCCTTTATCCCCTTTTCTTTTCATTCTAATTGCAGAGGTCCTAAGCAAAATGATCACCAAAGCTGATATGAACAATTTGTTTAGAGGTTGGAGGGTGGGTAGGAAGCAGGTTGTGGTTACCCATTTGTAGTTTGTAGATGATATAATCCTCTTCTTTGATGATGACAACCAATCCTCCCTAAGGAGCTTCTTGACTCTTCCTTCAAAAAAAAAGGAGCTTCTTGACTCTTCCTTCAAAAAAAAAAGGAGTTTCTTGACTCCTTTGAAAGTATTGCAAAATTGAAGGTTAATCTGGAGAAAAGCTGTGTTGCAGGGATAAACTTGCAAGAAGAGGAAATCCATATAGAGTAACAAAACTCTTAGGTTGTGAAGTCTAAATTCGGCCCTTGGAGTATTTAGGTCTTCCTTTGGGAGGTAAACCAAGAAAAGATGGCTTTTGGAAAGTAGTGGTGGAGAGATTTACTTGAAATCTAGCCCTTTGGAAAAGAAATTACATTTCAATGGGGGGGGGGGGGGAGAGGGGGATAACCATAATAAAAAATAACATTGGCTAAATTTCCTATCTATTTTTTATCCACCTTTAGAATTCCTAGTAGAAGCAGGATAGTTGGAGAAGATTATGGAAGGTTTCTTATTGGAATTGGGAGGTCAGAAGAAAGACCACTTGGTGAAATGGGAACAAGTGAGTAGGTTTAAAAGATAGGGGCGGGGGGAGGGAGGGGAGAGGGGCTTGGAGTAGGAAACTGAGTTTGGAAAAAATACAACCCTCCTAGGTAAATGGTTGTGGAGATATCCCTTAGAAGGATGAATGCTTTGGCACAAGGTAATTGAAAGCATACATGGGCGGTTGGACAATGGTTGTGATGCAAAAGTAGCCTCACATTGTCAACCTCTCCCTGGAAAGCAATACATGAGGTATATCCTTCATTTCTTAACCATATTTGGTTTGATGTGGGAGCAAAGTGTTATTTTGGGAAGCCCTTTGGATAGGCGAACATCCTCTAAAGATCTAATTCGTGACCTTCAATACCTCTGGGATAAATTGGGAGTTTGGTGAAAGAGATTTGCAGCAAGCCAATTCCACCTAAAATTCAGGCCCTTTGTTCGGAGGTCTTGGAAAGATAAACACCTATGACATGTTGTAGAAAAGAAGGCCAAATAAGTGCCTTTTCCCTCATATGCTTATATCCTGTCCTTTTGTGCTTTGTATTTGGGAGCATTTTTTGTTCTCTCTTTAGGAGTAGGTGGATCCATCCCCAGGATGTGGTGGGTCTCTCTGATCCATCTTGAGACAACAAAAGAAAAGAGGAAGGATAATTGTGGAAAGCAGTGGGAGTGGCACTGGTCTAAGACTATATGGGAAGAAAGGAATGGGTGGATCTTCAATGAAAAGAGGTCTGAGTTGGAGATCATTGATAACATAAAAATAGAAGTTGCGCATTGGGTGAAGACTTTGGATCCCTTCCAAGCATTCTCTTTTAATGATATCCTGAGAACATGGAAGTGGCACAATTGGCTCAAGAAAAGGAATGATCAATGAATTGGAGACCCCCAGCAGCCAGTTGTGAAACTTAAGTTTGATGGAAGCTTTTTGGGAAATGAAGGGGGGGCTGGATTAGGAGGTGTTTTTCGAGATTCAAAAGGTAATGTACTAGTATTATACTCAGGCCCCTTAGAACAAGGTAAACTCTATCTTATCTCTAAATATGCCTCCAATCCCTGATGGCCTTGGATTTTCCCTATTGCTTCTATCAAATTTGAGCTTGACGAATACAATAATTTTTGGGGAAAGGATAGGTGTAAGGAGGCGGAGAGTTGCACATTGGTTAAAGACCTTAAAACTCTTTTCAGACTTAAAGGTGGAGGGTTTTCAAGAGTTGGAGGGCAATAGCTGGCTCTTGCTCAAAGAAACAAAATCCTTAGAGGTTTGGTTGCCCCCAGTGGGTGGATTGATGAAACTAAATTTTGATAGCAGTAGTGTGGGCAATCTGGGTCCCTCAGGAATAGGAGGGGTGATTAGAGATGAGGGTGGTATTATATGTGCCTTGTTCTCAGGCCCAATTGGTAATTCAGTAAGAGCAGAACTTTTAGCTGTAGTTTTTGGGGTTGAGAAAGCTAAAGTGATAGGAATTGGTAGTTTGATCATTGAAGGCGATTTGAAGATAGTAGCGGGATGGTTGAAGGAAGGTTAGGGGGTGATTTGGCAGCTTAGAAATGTATTCAGACGTTTCAAATGGCTGTCAAAAGACATGAACGTTTGAATAAGATGGGTTAGAAGATCTGCTAACAGCTTGGCAGATGGTTTAGCTTAGTGATTTAAAAGGTGCACCTAGGTGCACAGGCGAGGCGCATTTTAGGGTAGGCACCTCGCCCAGGTCCTAGGCGCAGCCCATTCAAAAGGCGCACATCTGGTGCGCCTTGCATCTTAGCCCAGGCGTGCGCCTTTTGAAAATTTGCCGCTTTTTCCTTTTTTTATTTTTATTTTTTTGAGTTTGGCGGCTGGGCTGGGGGCTCCACCTCTAGACCCCTGTGCCACACCCCCTCGAGGCCAGCCCAAACAAGTCCATGTTAGGGTCTTAAATTCTTAGTTTTCACACAAAAAATAATAATTTTATAGTTTTAATTGCTTTTAAGAAGATATTTTATTAGGATGAATGAATGGACAACATTACCAAAAGGCGCCTTTTTTGCGCCTTGCGCTTTTAAAACACTGGTTTAGCTAAGCAAGGGGTTCAAAGACAAAAAATGTACTGGGCGCAATTGTAAATTGTAATAAAGTGTTGGGTGGCTTGTTCTGTAATGGGTTTTCTAGTTTCTCACAACTTCTTGTTGTAATCCTTTTCTTTTAAAATATTAATGAATGAATAATTTTTTGTGTTGCTGGTAAAAAAGTTGAGCTTGAAGAACCCCTTGGCTGGGGGAGTCCGGTTCTTTCAAACCAATGTTTTTCTTTTCTTTCTTTTTTTTTTTGTAGAAGTTTTTGCCACCACACTCCACTTCCTTCCTATGTATTCTTTTAACTTCAGATTATATCTATCAATGTTTCTATCAAGAAGTGGCTAGGCATTGCAATTTAGTTTCTATACTTATCATTTCTAACTATATGAACTCTCTGATTCATAGCACAGATATCTGGATTTATCATAGAAAAATTAAACAGCTTTACTATTTATAGTAGTTCTGCATGAAATCTAGGTTGCAGGGTTGGCTTGCTCTTTTGTAGCTTTTACTATTTGCTGGTTGCTTATTTGTTTGGAGCTGGAGTTTGAGTTGCTAGGGGAAGGGGGGGGGGGAGCCTAGGGGTACAACTCGGGTTGGCCCGGTTTGGTATTTTTCACTGCTTTGAGATTGGGCCCATTCAAATTTTGACAAAAGCCCAACCTGAGCCCACCCAAGTTGCACCCCTAGGGGAGCCTCACCTGGTTTACACCATCTGGTTGAAACGGTAAAAGCTGAGGATCTATTCTGCTTTGACCTTGAGGATGGGGCCTTCATTATTTTAAAAATAATTAAGATAAAAACAAAATCTGCAAGGCCCAAACATCTCTAATAATATGCATATTTATGATAACCATTTTTTCTGTGCCATCCCTTATGATGCTTACTAACAAATAATAGATAGTTATTTATTCTAACCATAATGGTAATGTTTGATCAAAAAATCATAATGGTAATGTAGCAATTTCTATTTTATTTAATTTGTCACTGTTAAGTTGGTTTTGGTCCCATGCTATTGGCACTGCTGCCCATATCATGTTTTTTTTTGAAGAAAGGTAAAGTATAATATATTAACTCAAAAAGTATATGGTCCTTTGTACAATGAATTGCTGTGCTAAAATTGGACGTCAAAAGGAATTCACCTGCAAAAAAGAAGCATCCAAAGTAGCATCCTTAAAAGCATTATTGAATAGACAGCCAATCTCTGAGAAGTCCCACCATGTTAATGATTACTGTTTTAGCTGAAGCTTTCTGCTAAAAAATTCTGCAATTTCTATCATACCAAGTAGCCCAAAAGATAGGGGAATGGCCAACCAGCAAACTTTCCCTTAGTCATTTTGTCAATCTGCCACTCTTCTAAAAGTGCTTTCACTGATTTCAGAAAGCACCAGTTCAAATCTACTACCTTTAGAAAATGATTCCACAGAGCTCCACTGAAGTTGCAGTGCAAGAAAAGATGATTGAGATCTCTATCTTCCAATCACAAAAATGAACGCAGAAGGTCTGCAATGTTGAAACCTTTCTTCTGAAGCATGTCTTTAGTGAGGCACTTTTCCAAGGATGTTACCCAAAGAAAAAGTTTTACTTTTGATGGAGCTGCAGACCCCTGAATTGCTTTGATGGCCATATCATTTTGGATAGAGATGTCAATAAGTTAGATTGTTTTTTTGATAATTGTCAATAAGTTATATTGTTGTATAACCTGTCCTGCTGTTCCATTGGAATGGGTTTAATATGTTCATAATTGGCTTAGGATCGGATTTTATTGTGAAATGTCAACCTATGATAGATCTAGATTATGATGTATCCCATTTCTAGATTGTTAAGTTATATAGATTTTAACCATTTTTATATTTCTTTTTTTTTTCTATTATGTTTTATTTATTCTGTTCTTGCCTTACTGTGCCCCATTTCTGGTTTGGCCTACTCTAGTCTAGTCAGGGATGGGGTTGGTTTGTGTTGGGATGTATCTGTCTTGGTTCAGATTCTGGTTAAAGCCCAAATCAACCAGTCTTTTATATTTGTGTTTCTAGAAATTTAGATCACGTGCTACCTGATTGGGAATGTAGTGTTTGGGGTTGCATAATAAATGCATGCTTTTTGAAATTTATGCTTAGTGTAAGAAACATATTACAATCACAATTTAATCTAGTTGTTCTTACTTTAGATACCTTATTTACAGGCTATTTTCATATTATTTGATATATTTGAATCTTGTTTACCAGCTCTGGGAATTGAAAATGATGCAATGTGGAGTTGTACAAGGTCCCATAGAAAGAAACTCTGCTCCCAGAGGTTCAGGTGTACCAACCCCTGTACATGATCTAAATGTACCATATGAAGGGACAGAAGAATATGAAACTCCAACTGCTGAGATGCTTTTTCCACCGGTATGGTTTATTCTTTTTTTTCATTTCCTTTTCTCCATGTATGAAATTCTCTAGCATGATTCATTATCCCAATGTTCTCTATTCTGCTTCTGGTCACCTTGGTCAACTTGTCATTTTCCAGAGTTATGGGCAGGCACCATATAAGGAATATTTGCCATGCTTTATTATATATTCTTTTATTCTGAGAAAAGGTAAGTATATTGTATTAAGTGTAAAAATGATGGCTGTACATGGGGTGAAGGATCACCAAGTTAACTATATGTTGCATGATTACAAAAAGAGGGCATTGACTGAGGTGTTGTGTGCCTTTGCCCAAGAATGTGCTTAATTTCATTAATATGAGAGGATTTGCCTTCAACAATTCTTCTGTTCCTCTCCATCCAAATAGACAAAATCACTGATGCAGGTAGCATATTCCAGATGATTTTGTGATTACTAGAAAGTTCTTCAATACTCCCACTGTTTAGAAAGTTTAGGACAGAACTGGGGAAGATCCAGCATAGTTCAGGTTGGACAACACCTTGTTCCAAACAAGCCTGCTGACAGGGCAGTGTAGATAGAGATGATCTGCATCTTCCTGAGAAGTATTGCAAAACGGACTTTTAAGGGAAGCAATAGGAATCCCTCTCTTGCTTAGCTTGTCTTTGGTGAGGCATTTGCCATGTGCGGCAGTCCAAACTAGGAATGCTATTTTGGAAGGTACTTTCTGTGCCCAAATGACTTTGTGAGGCAAGGTAAGCCTGTTCAAGTTAAGATGCTCTACCATGGACTTGACAGAAAAGGCATTTGCCATATTTCCAGATTCTATGGTCCTCTTCTGAACTAACGGGTTGAAATTGTTGAAGTTGGAGAAGCAAGTATTCTAGACATTCAATTTCTCAGTCAAACAGGTTTCTTCTAAAAACTGGGGTCAGTGGCCATTAGCTCCATCATTAGAGAAAACCTCAGCAACGTTGTCTCTTTGTTGGTGGCTGAATTGAAGAGGCTGGGGTAGGATTCAGCGAAAGATCTATCTTCATACCAAGAGTCCTACCAATCTCAGCTGAGAACCATTTCCCAACTTGTTGATAGTATTTTCTAGAAATTGAGAATGAGTTTTCTGAATGCCTTTCCAAACAGCAGTAGCGGTGGTATGGGATGCTTGGTTAGTATCCCAGTCTCCATTAGAGAGAGACCATATTTATTTGCAATCAAAACTCTCCACCAACTATTCCTTTTGGCATTGAATCTCCATTGCCATTTACTGAGAAGGGCCGTGCTCAAATTTTTATTTTTTTGATGAATGGCCATGTTCGAATTTCTGATCCAGTAAATTTGTTTGGTGGAACAAATCTTTGTCCAGTCAACAAGATGAATTTTCTTGTTATCTTTCACTTGTCAATTTTTTTTTCTCATTATCTTTCCACCCTTACCAAAGGAAATCTCTATGCAGTACATAGTTGTCAAGGCATATGTGTTAGAATTTGACAAAAAAAAACTTCAATTTTTGGTTGGTTTTCTAGTTTTATACATCAATTAACATGCCGATAATTTGAAAAATAACGATGGTTTTAATTGGATAATGATGAATTTCATATCAAAACATGGTAAGTTATCATACCTAAATGACAATGGCATTTTAAATTTATTAATTTCAATGGTAGTATTTAATATTGCAATTGCATGTCAAAAAAATAAAAGCAACTATAATTTTTTTACTAATAAAAGAAGAGAAGAAGAGAGAGTAATGAAAAAGTTAAAATATAAGGTGTAGGTCTCCTTGCATTTAATATATGTATTTTTCTATGTGTTTAATATATGTGGTTTTGCTCTAACTACTACAAGAGTATTTGGAAATGGAATCCCAGGTGGAACAACCACGACCACGAATGCAGTCTTATCAGATGATGAAGTAGTCACATTAACATTGCCCTTCTGACCATTTTTTGAACCTGAAAAGTTTTTAATGGGATAAAGCTTCCAACACTTATTCTTAGCTAGTGATTTAAAAGGCGCTCATGAGGCGCACAGGTGAGGTGCATTTTAGGGTATGCACCTCACTTAGGTCCCAGGCACAACATTTTCAGAAGGCATGCACTTGGTGCACCTAGGTGTGTGCCTGGTGCGCCTTTGCGCTTCAGCCGAGGCATGGCCCTTTTGAAAATCTGTGCATTCTATTTTTTTGTGTTTACGAGTTGGACCAGGGGCTTCGAAAACCCCATATTTGCTAATGTTGCTCATTCATTCATCCTAATAAAAGATATTTTTAAAAGACACTTAAGTTATAGAACCTTTACTATAGGGCTTAAGAATTTAAGACCTTGATATGGACTTGTTTGGGCTTGGTACAAAGGTAGCTTGTAGAATTAGGAATGCATAATGTTTAACATCACATATTCACATTAGCTATTTGAAGTAATGCAATTGTAAAAAAAAAAATAAAGAGATTAAGAGTTTACATGCTTGAATATGTTATGCTTGGTTTTATTTTTAAGTTTTCATTTTAAATATGTTTTACATGTATGTTTATGTATTTTAATTTGAGATAATAGTTTTTTTTAAAGCATTAATTTTAAAATTTAAGTTTATATTTGTAATTAATAATGTATTTAAAAATTTTAATATTTTACATTTCTTTGAATTTTTTGCCTTTTTTTATTTTTCTAGATTTTTTAGCATTTTTGCACCTTGCTTCAAAAAGATGTATGCCTTGTGCCTCAAGCGCAAAATGGCCCTTGTGCTGTTTTTGCGCCTTACGCTTTTAAAATACTGTTCTTAGTGTGCTTTGGTTTCTTGCAATGTTCACGCACAACCTCCTTTCCCCAACAAGATGTCCAAAATTAGGCTTCTGGTTAAGACTTAGCAGCCACAACATGAGCAATGTATTCACTTGGAGGTGAAACATCACCTTCCTTCTACTCTTTTGACTATGAACCCGAGAATAAGCCTGTGATAGTGACAAGTTTCCATAGGTAAGAATATGTTGCCTAGTATGGAAGAAGAAAAAAGAATTACATTTACAGTGTGGAGATCGAAGGGGAAGTGATTTCAAGGGAGGAGGAAATTGTGAGAGCTTTCATGAATCATTTCAAAGACATTTATGGAAAAATTGAGGAAAGAGATCCCTTGCCTGAGTTGGATTGGACCAAATTGCCTAGGACCCAGAAGGAACTACTGGAAGAGTGGTTCACTTTGGAGGAGATAAAAGAAGCAGTTTTCTTAATGGACAACTCTAAAGCCCCAGGGCTAGATGGCTTTACTATGGCTTTCTACCAAAAATGTTGGGATGTAATTAAAGCTGATTTGTTGGAGGTCTTTAATGAATTTTGGTTCAAAGGATAAGTAACTCAGGGTGAAAATTCCTCCTTCATAGCAGTAATACCCAAGAAAGAAGAAGCTTTACATCCAAAGGATTACAGACCAATTAGTTCGGTGGGAAGCCTTTACAAAATTTTAGCGAAGGTCCTATTTGGGAGACTAAGCAAGGTTCTACCTGTGGTGATCTCCCAAAATCAAGGAGCTTTTGTTAATGAGAGACAAATAATAGATCAAATTTTGATAGCAAATGAATGTGTGGAGGAAAGAAGGAGAAGAAAGGAAAAAATGTTTCATTTGCAAATTAGATTTTGAAAAGGCCTACAATTTTGTTAATTGGGAGTTCCTCTTGGAGATTATGGAGAAATTGGGTTTCGGAGCTAGATGAAGAAAGTGAATGAAAGGATGCATAAGTTCATGCCACTTATCTATATTAATCAATGGAGTGTCAAGAGATTTCTTCTCAGCAAAGAGGGGTTTGAGGCAAGGGGATCCTCTATCTCCGATGTTCTTCACGTTGGTGGCTGATGTGCTAAGTAGAATGATCTCAAAGGTAGATGAAAGTAAGTATAAAGGGTGGTTGGAGAGTAGGGAGGCAAGAAGTAGTTGTGGCGCACCTCCTTTTTGCAGATGACATTATCATTTTTTGTGAGGAAGGAAGTGAGGGTTGGTGGAGAAATCTGAAAGAAATTATCTTGGCCTTTGAGTGTGGCTCCAGATTGAGAATAAATTTGGGGAAGAGTTACCTGGTAGGGTCTTGGTTGTTGACCTACTTAGGCTTAACCTTAGGTGGAAACCCAAAATCTGAATTCTTTTGGAGGCCAGTTTTGGAGAAGTTTACAAAGAAGCCTGCAGTTTGGAGGAGAAACTACATTTCTTTGGGGGGAAGGATTACTTTGATTAAGTCGACCCTAGCAATCCTCTCAATTTATTTCCTCTCTACGTTCTGAATCCCAACCAAAGTAGCATGGAAGCTAAAGAAAATCATGAGAGATTTCCTTTTCGAACCAGGGGAGGAAAGAAAAGATCACTTGGTGAAGTGGGAGATTGTGTGTAGACCTAAGACTCAAGGGGGACTAGGTTGGGAAACTTGAAACATATAAATACAGCTCTACTTGGGAAATGGTTGTGGCGTTTGCCTCAAGAGAAGGAGAGTTTGTGACACAAAGTCATAGTGAGCATTCATGGTGCTTCGGGCAATGGATGGGATGCAAAGATCTCACCTCTCGCTTCAGGTCATTCTGCCTGGAAAGCCATAAATGAGGTACTTCCTACTTTTCTGAACCTTACAAAATTCGATGTGGGAAATGGTAAAAAGTCCTCTTCTGGGATGATGTTTGGGTGGGGAATACTCCCCTAAAATCTCACTTCCCTTTGCTTTTTGCTCTCTCTAACCTTAAAATGAAGCTCATTGCTTGTTTTTGGAGTCTTTCTCCCTCAGGTCCAAACTGGGACCTTGGTTTCAGAAGGGGTTTAAGGGACACAGAATGTGAACTGGCGATAAACTTGTTACAAGCTTTGGGGCCAGTCTTCTTGGATGTAAGGGCGGAAGATAACGGAGTTTAGACACCTTCCCCTTCTGGATATTTCACTTGTGCTTCTTTTTTTGACACTCTAGTTTCCTTAAACTCAGGGAGGGGAGGTAGCTTTCTTGAGAAAGAAATATGGAGTAAGCCTATTCCCCCAAAAGTCCAAGCCTTCTGCTG